TATATATATATATATATATATATATATATATATATATATATATATATATATATATATATATATATATATATATATATATATATATATATATATATATATATATATATATATATATATATATATATATATATATATGTATGTATATCACATCACAAAGCTACCTGGTGTTCAGGGATGCGCTTGGATCGTTGGCTGACGTACTCATAGGCCCTCCTAGACCCCGCGAGTGGTTTGCTCATGCACACTAACGCATTGCACTGCCTCGCAAACAGATATGATCGGAACTCAAACACTAGAGAAGATAAAGTGTTACAATTGGAGAGAGATACTAAGTTATTACTTTATAAGTATATGACAAACAGGTTCGACTGAGACCCTAACATGAGAGAGAGAATCCTTTTATAGGATTTGAGTTGTATAGGTATGGACATAACAATCGAGCACGACCGAATCCCGGTCATTGGGAATGTCAAAGTGATACACATAGCTTGATGCATATAGCGACCCTTATATAGGCCTAAGAATAACTAACATTTTCTATGCACGTACAGTCACAGCTGAATTTCAACATACGGGAGTGATAAAACACCTGTGTTCATATGAGACGAAAAGTATCCATTTATGTCACACGGGAAGAGACAAAGTGCCGTCACTCATTGGTAATAGAATACTTTCAGACATTAATGCACGAATATCTTCAATCATCTGCCAGGACATGACATACTCAGGTGGGCGTATACTCCCATACATATACCGCACACCCTCAATTGCTCAACAAACGATACATTTACATGTACATATACGCAGTGCCCATGTACAGCTACACCATGTGTCCCTTATCCATAGAGACACATACAAATCAGCGGAAATAACGCACTTCTGTAAAACATGTTTGCCCGGACATTGTCAGGCATTTGTCGATCTGTGATATGCACACGTATAAATATAAATACCAGGCATGGCTACCCTAACTATAGCACCATACACAAACACCGATGCGGATATATGCACCACTTTGTCAATCGCACACATATACACACCAGACATAGTCCCGTTGGCTATAGCGGCTCTGCATTCTGGCGAGTCGAATGACGCCGAGGGCTTGTCGGCCATCTCTAGTATGTTGGTAGGCAACCAGGGACACGCCCCAAACCCATCGGCAATCACCTCCAACTCGTTCATAGTTGTGTCGACTTCATCGTAGAGGAGCAATGCTTCTTCAAAGAGCATCATGCGGCAGTATTCAAAGGCAAGGTTGTCCTAATAAGGCAATGTAGGTACTAAGATGAGATATTGGGGTACATATATAAATAGCAAAGCCTCTGAAGCGCATCATGCGGCAGTAGTCAAAGGCAAGCTTGATCTAATAGGGCAATGTAGGTACTAAGATTAGACATTGGGGTACATATATAAATAGCAAAGTCTCTTAAGTGTATCATGCGACAGTATCAAAGGCAAGGTTGTCCTAATAGGGCAATGTAGGTAATAAGTTGAGACATTGGGGTACATATATAAATAGCAAAGCCTCTGAAGCGCATCATGCGACAGTATTCAAAGGCAAGGTTGTCCTAATAGGGCAATGTAGGCAATAAGATGAGACATTGGGGTACATATATAAATAGCAAGGCCTCTGAAGCGTATCATGCGGCAGTATTCAAAGGCAAGGTTGTCCTAATTGGGCAATGTAGGTAATAAGATGAGACATTGAGGTACATATATAAATAGCAAAGCCTCTGAAGCTCATCATGCGACAGTAGTCAAATGCGAAGTTAGACCGAGCCGAGTAATAAATGTACCAAGATGATAGATCAGCGAGTTTGTGTAGATATATGTGTGCACTGTATCGTCGTTCCTAAGTTTAATAGTAGTTCCGACTCCTTCATAGGGAAAGAATCTTAGTCGAAAGGCACAATTTGACAGGACCCATCGAGGTTGACCTGAGAAGAGTAATATATGTACGACGATGACTCGCTCACGCATCGAAACTAAAAAAAGCAAGCCAAACAAACACAACATTTAATATACACTCACAGCACAAACACAAACCCTCATATATACCCACGATACAAACAAAACCCCTCATATACACTCACGATACAAACGCAAACCTCCATATACACTCACGATACAAACACAAACCCTCATATATACTCACGATTAAAACACAAACCTTCATATACACTCGCAATACAAACACAAGCAAACGCACAGACAGTAAATCTACGTATCTATGAAGCAACGTGCTTGTGGATGTACGACTCTTGTCAGTGTATGCGCGGGCCTCTCCCCATACGCTTCGACACGGACGTTAAACACTCCCCCCCACACACATACACACGCACGCCCGCACAACCCGTTCACACACGCGTCTTACAGGCATAAATAACCATACACACACACAGTATGTCCCTACCCACCTTTGCGGCAAAGTACCTGTGCAAATCCCATCCCTTGTCCGCGGGTGCGAGGTTCATAACCGATTTCTCCTCATACGCCTCAACGCGGCGTTTAAAGGACGTTATAAGTGCCTCCAGGAGACGGTTGAGAAACTGGTCCCACACATCTGAACTGTCTTCCACTTTCATGCGGATCTCGGTACAGCTGTGAGAAAGACGGAAAATACATATTTATATACATACGTTTATATACATATGAATATATACACATGTCTGCATAGCCACAAGGATTTGTGTCCAACATCTTCTGGAAGGTTTCTTTTACTATCGCAAACTTTGAATTGAACTTTTGGACAAAAAGAATGTGAATAGCACCTCATATATACCTATCGCACTCACAAGAATGACCAATCATGACACTTATTCTCAAACTTGAAAATGATCGCAAGCTTCTGGCACGAATTTCCCCAAGCCAAAACTTTGGCAAAAATTGGGTACTTACTTTTTGCCAAAATCGATCTTGATTTTATCGAATGTACTGCCCCTCAGTTTGAAGTTTTTGGCCAGAGTTGAATCCTGGGTGGTCACATACACAACCATGTACTCCTCTCCGTCTTCGAATCCATCCACAAAATTCTGTATCTTGGGTTTGACGACCGTTTTATACGTGTCGAGGTCCTGTGTAGATAGAGACAGGCACAGACATATACGCATACATTCGTACATGTGAGCAGAGAGATAAATTCAAACGCATATGCCAGTGCATATGAATGGAATACACGTTACGTAGAGGGCCATATACACTGATATGCTGCTCCTCCCTAACATCAACGATGTCACATCGAACTCATATCAGCACGAAGTCATAGAACGAACCTCGCCATAGCGTCAACGAACATTTGGCCTTGAGGCACTTTGGCAAACTTTCCGCTTGGAGTGAGTGTGAATCTCGAGCTGTACTACAAGACCGTTGATATCTCCATATACCCGAACCGGCTTGAAACTATCTATACCAAGAGCCCATGGACAGAAACGCAGCCGTTGATTAAATAAACTACGTTATATATCCTCACGAACCACCAACCATACTGTAGTACACAGGCTTTCATATATAGATATACCAACCAGGCCGAGCAAAGTGCGGTGATTGCGCCCCACCAGACTATGTAGAGGTTCAGCCGCGGGTTCTCACTCGTCTTAATCTCGACCATGCACTGTAGGTAGACATTGAGCTAATCGATTGCTTATAACACCTTCATGCAATACAACAAACACATATCTACCCACACACAAAAAACATTGAATTGCGGTACTCACGTCGCAACTGACGAGGTACAGATTCAGCAGCGGGTTCTCACTCTCTTTGACCTCGGTCATGCTTTGTAGGTTGACATTGAGTTCGTCAATGGTGCGCACTGTGCCTGTGGTACTACGCCACTGAACATTGCGAAAGGGCAACCGGCTTTGCACTTCACTCTCCATGTACCTCCACATGGCGAAGTCATCGCAGTCTAAAACGTTCGTTTGGCAGTGAGTCAGTGAGAGACCATCTCGTTATCTATGTGAGGTTGTGGGTGTGTGCGAAATATGACTGACTATCACTAAATTCGAAACCGATTTCATATACTTTCACATAACCAGTTGAGTGATATATATATATATAAGTGTGTGTGTATGTGTGTGTGTATGTGCATATGTGTGTGTACTATATATATATATATTATATATATATATATATAAATGAGTGTGTGTGTGTTCTACATATAGATATATATATATATACATATATATATTTGGGTATTTGTAAATATATACACATATATATATATATTTTTATATATATATTTATATATATGTATATATACACACACACATATATATATATTTATATGTATATGTATATGTATATATATATATATATATATATACACGCATGTATATGTATATGTATATATATATATATATATACACGCACACACACACACATATATATATATATATATATTAACGATACACACACACACACACACAC